GCTGTGGCTAGATTGATTAGGTTATTTTGGTACCATTTCCATTTTAAAAATTATTTTAATAAACTAAGCCGTAAAGTATTATATAAGATAACTGGATAATAGTGCTAATCATAATTGTACCCTACAATTCATGTATATAACATACTACAAACTAATGTAAAAGACATTTGCTAACTGAACATAAGCAGTGGTACTTTACCAACACAGGGGAACACACAGATATTTAAGAAACTTTGTTTTCTGGAGGCCAGTAACATAATGGTACAGTATTCCCCCCTCATCCATGGGTGATACATCCAAGACTCCCAGTGGATGCTAGAAACCACAGACAATACCAAACCCTATGTATACTGTTTTTTACCATACATATGGGATATGATAAAGTTTAATTTATAAATTAGGAGCAGTGAGAAATTAACAATAAAATAGAATAATTATAACCAAGATTAAAGTTATGAATGTGGCATTAGGTCAAATAAAAGTTACTTGAACATCAGCACTGCGATATAATAGTTGAGCTGATAACCGAGACGGCTACTAAATGACTAATTGGTGGGTAGTGTGCACCATGTGGATAATCTCGACAAAGGGATGATTCATGGCTCAGGCAGGATGAAGTGGGATGGCACAAGATTTTCTCATGCTACTCAGGATGGTGTGTGATTTAAAACATGAATAATTTCTGGAATGGTCCAATTAATATTTTCAGACTGCATTTGACTATGGGTAAGCATGGGAAGCAAAACTGGATAAGTGGAGGGACTACTGTTTTTATTTTTATTTTTTATTGATTTCAGACAGGAAGGGAGAGGGAGAGAGAAACCAATGATGACAGAATCATTGATCGGTTGCCTCCTGCACACCCCCTACTGGGGGTTGAGCCCCAAACCCAGGCATGTGCCCTAACTGGTTATCAAACCGTAATCTGGTTCAAAGGTCGCCGTTCAACCACTGAACCACTCTGGCTGGGCAGGACTACTATCTTTAATGATTTTAAATAAAATAGTCCATAACTATGACCCTTATCCAGACCTAAAAACTGTACTTCCAGAGCAACTTTATTGTCATCCCTTTTCTAGAATTTTTTCCCCAAAATTTCCTTCCTGAGAGCTAGTTAAGGAAAATAATTACACTTTTTTTATATGTGTCTTAAATGTAAAATGACAGGACTGATTTATGTAGTCTTGACAATTTTCTTTCCTGTAGACTCTAAACAACTTTAAGTTATAACTTACCATAAAATTTACTCATGAAGTTAGGATTCTATGGATCCACATAGTTATGCACTCCCACCACTAATCTTGGGACTTTTCAATTTACTGGGGAAAAAAAGTATGTAATCCTACAGCCATATATATATATATATATACATATTGATTTCAGAGAGAAAGGGAGAGGGGGAGAGAGAAACATCAATGATGAGAATCATTGATCGGCTGTCTCCAGCAGGTCCCTACTAGGAATTGAGCCTGAAACCCAAGCATGTGCCCTTGGCCAGAATTGAACCTGGGACCCTTCAGTCCACAAGCCAATGCTCTATCCACTGAGTCAAACCAGCTAGGGCCCTACAGCCTTTTAAGTTAGGCACCTTCAGTCTTTTTAAAAAATATATATTTTATTGATTTTTTACAGAGAGGAAGGGAGAGGGATAGAGAGTTAGAAACATCGATGAGAGAGAAACATCGATCAGCTGCCTCCTGCACACCTCCTACTGGGGATGTGCACGCAACCAAGGTACATGCCCTTGACCAGAATAGAACCTGGGACCCTTCAGTCCGCAGGCTGACGCTCTATCCACTGAGCCAAACCGGTTAGGGTGGCACCTTCAGTCTTTAAAAAAATGTTTTTTAAATTTACATTTCTTAATATCAAATTGTTTGATACAATAAATTAGTAAACACCAACATGACTGAAAAATAATGCTTAAAAGAGACTTTTAAACTTTCATAGACTTTTCAGATTTAATCTTGTTAAGCTTCCTTGCTTCCTGGCACAGTAAGTGTTCCAGGTACACATTGGATCTTTCTGCCCCAGGCAAGGAATAGGCCAACTCTGCTAGGAGCCCGGAGTCTTTTTAATGGAATATCATCTCATTTTAGTTTTAATGCCTTGTAAAGTGGATTAAGCAGGTCTTAGCCGCCATCTCACGAAAACTGCCAGTTAGTGGGGGAAAAAAATGTAATGGTCACAACATGACCCTCCTTTCATATAGATAGATATGCCTTTATATCTTTGTCTCTGTGTGTAGATAGATATTCCCCCCCACACCCCACTAAAACCTATGTTGAGAAAATAAAACTATCAAGACTTCAAAGCCATGTTCTTTCTAATCCTTTGCTGAGTGCCTACTATACTTTGGTAGATGTGGGAATATGCAAAAATCTTGCATATTTGGCTCTCTTGTATTTACATTGCCATAAAATAACAAAATGGGAAGTTAGCTTGGCTCACGGCCACCAGAGAACCCACCCAGGCAGAGAGGATGTCTAGCTCCTGCCAATGTCCCTAGGCCTTAGGCAGGTATGAATGAAGAGCTTTTCTTCCGTCAGAACAGGTGTTTGGTCACTACCAGATGATAACTCCTTAGGCCAACAGGGGTATGAAGCAGATGTAGAGCTTAGCTTTGAGGTCATGTAGGCCAGCAGTGTCTCCCTCTCAGCCCCGTGGTAAGTGAGGTTCAAAGGCAGGGAGTTGCTGTGGAAGCACACAAGTAAGTGGGAGTACAGGACCAACAACAGCTGCCACTGCTGTCCACCATAGAAACCTCTTGCTTGGGGCTGGCAATAGGTTAAAGGCCCTAAGAGGAACAAGAGTAGGGAGGTGGTGGTAGTTGACACATCGGTCAAGAAAGCTAGAGGAAGTGGCATATATGCTCAAAACTGAAAGTGAGCAATCAACTTTGAGAAGGGCTGGGGGAGAACTTTCCAGATACAGGGAACAGCAAGAAGTTCTCAGCCAAGAAACAGCTGGGGGAGAGTGTGATGAAAAGTGTTTTGAGATGAAGTTGCAGAGGTGTGAGGAGGCCAAATTTTTAATGTATCATAGGTTGTGAAAATTGGTTTTTTCCTTTTTTTAAAAAATTGAATTTTTTTTAGAGATAGAGGGAGAGAAACATTGAAGTGAGAGCAAAACATCAATGGGCTGCCTTCTGCATGCCCCCTAACAGGGGATGGAACCCACAACCTTTCTGGGCACAGGAGGACGCCCAACTGAGCTGCACGAACCAGGGCAATTTTTTTTTAAGTGTGACAGAAAGCTGTTGAAGGGTTTTTGTTTGTTAAAATTTTTTATTAAGGTACTACATATGTGTCCTTATCCCCACATTACCCCCCATCTCCCCCACTCATACCCTCGCCCCCCTGTTGTCTGTGTCCATAGGTTAGGCTTATATGCTTGCATATAAGTCCTTTGGTTGATCTCTCCCCCTTACCCCTACCTTCCCTCTGAGGTTTGACTGTCTGATCGATGCTTCTCTGTCTCTGGGTCTGTTTTTGTTCATCAGTTTATGTTGTTCATTATATTCCATAAATGAGTGAGATCATGTGATATTTATCTTTCTCTGACTGGCTTATTTCACTTAGCATAATGCTCTCCAGTTCCATCCATGCTGTTGCAAATATTGAAGGGTTTTAAGCAGAGTTATTGCATGATCTGAACTATATTAATCATAGGCTTTGATATAGAAAATGAATTACCCTTTAGATTTTGAAAAACATTCAAATGCAAATGACAAAAAAATGACAGAGGAGGTTGTGTCCCTTTGTGTGTTATAAATTAAAAATCACTCTTAGAAAACTAGACATGGCCATATATATTTTTGATTTCAGAGAGCAAGGGAGAGGGAAAGAAATAGAAACATCAATGATGAGAATCATTGATCATCTGCCTCCTGCAGGTCCCTCACTGGGGATCAAGCCTACAACCCAGGCATGGGCCCTTGACCAGGATCGAACCTGGGACCCTTCAGTCCGCAGGCCCACCTAGGCTTCTTTTATTTTTTTAAAAAACTTTTTTTATTGATTTTTAGAGAAAGAGGAAGGGAGAGGGAGAAACACTGATGAGAAACATCCATTGGTTATCTCCTGCACACCCCCCACTGGGGACTGAGCCTGCAACCTGGGCATGTACCCTGGCAATCAAACCAGTGACCTCTTGGTACATGGGTGGATGCTCAACTACTGAGCCACACCGGCCGAGCTCATTTTCATGATTACCCTCTATTCTCGCAAGAGACATTCAAACATTATTTCAGCACTCCATCCTGAAGTTACATAGCTTAATAATAATTTTAAAAAATTCCTGCAAATGCCCTAACCGGTTTGGCTCAGTGGATAGAACGTTGGTCTGCGGACTGAAGGGTCCCAGGTTCGATTCTGGTCAAGGGCATGTACCTAGGTTGCCGGCACATCCCCAGTGGGGGGGCGTGCAGGAGGCAGCTGATCGATGTTTCTCTCTCATCAATGTTTCTAACTCTCTATCCCTCTCCCTTCCTCTCTGTAAAAAATCAATAAAATATATTTTTTAAAAAATTCCTGCAAATGAATGTTTGGACATAGGTGTGATAAGTGCACCAAAATGTATGTTTCTCCAAGTCGGGTTGGTCACTCCTAAATCCACACTTTACTGCTTTAAGCTGGCACCACCCTAAACACGGGAGGTGCTCCCAGGAGGGTTCTTTCCCATGGGGGCCTGGAGCGCCTAGCCGGGTGGTTGTGGGGTCTCCAAAGAGTCAGGGCCCGCAAATCAGTCCCAGGCCGCCTGAAGGAAACGAAACCACACTCCGATCACCTTGACTGCACACTCTCCAAGATCGTCTCTCAATTCTTCACACGGACAGCAGCAGGGTGCAATCGCAGGCAACCCAGCAACCAGCTCACACCTAGAGGACGTCGAGCGTCTGCCATGCGCCTGCGCCGGCCGGCGGGGGCGGGGCTTGCGTGCTGACGTACGCGGAGCGTGCTGGCGTGTCGGGCGCGGAATAACCGCAGCCGGGCTTCGCACCTCAACTGCCGTGGCTGTTGTGCTCCGGAGTCGCTCTTTTAAAAGTCCTGCGAGGCTGTGTGTTATGCTTCCGGAGGGTCTGTAGTGGGTTGCGCCAAGCAGAGCAGTGGTGAGTATGCGGCGCGGGGGCGGAAATGGTGGCTGTGGCAGGGCGAGCTCAGGAAGCCGGTGGTGCCTAGGCCCGGCCCGACTACCTCTCGTCACCTTTGACCAGAATATCCTCTCTTTGGCTTCCCCTCCACCCCGGCTCCCCCCGGTGCAGACTCAGAGGTGGTGTCTTAGGTCAGTGTGACTAAGTACATCGCTCGCGACGAGCGTTATTTAGGGAGTTCGATTCCACTGAAATGGCGTCGTCTCTCTCAGGTTCTCACAATGTCAACGGTCAAGGAGCAGCTTATTAAGAACCTGGTTGTGGAAGATAAAACCTCCCACCAGAAGATCACCGTCGTCGGGGTCGGTGCGGTGGGCATGGCTTGCGCCATTTGTATCTTATTGAAGGTAAGTGATCAGCCTGTTCTGGGGCTGAGGGTCAAGCGCCTCGGGGCCTTGTCGATGGATGAGTTCAGGTTTGCAGGGCTAATCCCTTGGCCCCAAATATGTATCCTCTTCATCTGACTTTTTTTCCCCTCTTGGTCATATTCCTCTCCTCTGATTTTGACGCAATTTAAGAAACATTTAGCCCTGATCGGTTTGGCTCAATGGATAGAGCGTCGGCCTGCGGACTCAAGGGTCCCAGGTTCGATTCCGGTCAAGGGCATGTGCCTTGGTTGCGGGCACATCCCCAGTAGGAGATGTGCAGGAGGCAGCTGATCAATGTTTCTAACTCTCTATCCCTCTTCCTTCCTCTCTGTAAAAAATCAATAAAATATATATATTTTTAAAAAGAAACATTTACTTGGAGCTTACCATTCTTAGACTAGTTCAGATTTATTTGTAGGCACGTTGTTAAGCGTTATGACATTGCATTATAACAATTCAATCCATGAATTGTCTTCCTTGAGGAGGAATGGGTGAAAATTGTATTTCCTAGTGGCTTCCACTTTACAATTAAAAAAAAAAATGGTATGACATGCTCATTATAAAACAAAAAGTACACGATTTGATAAAATAACAAAGTTATTTTGAAATGGAAGTTTTTTAATTTTCCTTTCCATTTCCAGAGCATCTTTTCATGTGCTTATTGGCCGTTTGTATATCTTCTTTGGAGGAATGTCTATTTAGATCCTTTGCCCATTTTGCCCGGCCAGCATGGCTCAGTGGTCGAGTGTCTGCACCTATGAGCCAGGAGGTCATGGTTCGAGTCCTGGTCAGGGCACATGCCGGGGTTGCGGGCTCGATCCCCAGGGGGGCGCGTGCAGGAGGCAGCTGATCAATGATTCTCTCTTCATTGATGTTTCTGTCTCTCCCTCTCCCTTCCTCTCTGAAATCAATAAAAAAAAATTTTAAAAATCCTTTGCCCACTTAAAAATCCAGTTATTTGTTGTTTAGTTGCAAGAGTTATTATATTCTAGATGTTAACTGCTTATCAGATACATGATTTTTACATATTTTCTCCCATTCCCTTGCTTTCCCTTTACTCTCTTGATTGTGTCCTTTGATGCACAGAATTTTTTTATTTTAATGTAGTTCAGTTTATCATTTTTACTCTTGTTGCCTGTGCTTTTGGTGTCATATCTAAAAATCATTGCCACATTCAGTGTTATGAAGCTTTTCCTCTCTGTTTTCTTCTAAGAGTTTTATAGTTTTAGATCTTCGATCCATTTTGAGTTAACTTTGTATATGGTATAAAGTAAGTGCTCCTACTTCATTCTTTTATATGAAAATATGCCATTTGTTAAAAAGATATCCTTTCCTGGTTGAATGCTCTTGGCACCCTTGCCAAAAGTCACTTGATCATATGCATTAGAGTTTATTTCTAGGCTCTCTATTTTGTTCCATTGCGCTATATGTCTGTATTCTATTACCTCACAGTTTAGATTACTGTAGTTTTGTAATAAGTTTTTAAATCAGGAAGCATAAAACCTCTAACTGTTATTTTTCAAGATTCGCTATTCATGCCTTCTCCCTCCTCCTCCCCTTTCCTTTCCCCTTCTCTCTCCCCTCCCTTCCCCTTTTCTCCCTTCCCTTCTTCTTTCCTTCCTCCATCTCTCCCTCCCCACTCCCTCCTTCCCTCCCTCCCTCCCTCCCTTTTTCTGAATTTGTGGGGTTTTTTCTGCCCCCAGTTTGTTTTGGAGCTCGAGCATTGGCCTCATCTTGCCCATTCAGTGCTAGCAGCAGCAGCAGCAGCAGCCAGATTTTGCCTCCTCCAGAGTTCTGAGACTAGTTCCTGAAGCACCTGTTTTATGTTTTAGTCTTTCTGTGCCTTCAGCCTTAGGGGTGGTAGTTTCAAGCTGTGGTTACAATCTTTGGGTTATCTCAAGTGTTACCTTTTTCTTCTTTCATCCCTCCAACATCTGTCTAAACAATTCCCTATATTAAATTCCTTCCGTTGAAATGCTTAGAATGGTTTCTGTTTTCCTGTTCCAGACCCAGACAGATATATAGACTGATGTAAAAATGGATCTGTAAACATAGTTTTTTAAAAATCAGCTAGCCCTGGCTGGTGTTGCTCAGTGGATAGAGCATCAGCCTGCAGACTGAAGGGTCCTGGGTTCAATTCTCCATTAGGGCACATGCCTGGGTTGCTGGCTTGATCCTCAGTGGGGGGCATGCAGGAGGCAGCCGATCTATGATTCTCTCTCATCATTGATATTTCTATCTCTCTTTCTCTCTCCCTTCCTCTCTGAAATCAATAAAAATATATTTTTTTAAAAATCAGCTAGCCAAAAGTTTCATTCTTCTGGATGAAACTCCTTATCCTCCTCCTATTCCTGATATATGACACATAATTTAGTAAATTTTAGAATTTACAGTTGTCCAGTAAGATGACATGGTATCTGATTTGAGAAAAAACCATTAGTAAATAGGGACTTGTATCCTTTTTTGTTATTGCTCACCTTTGGAATCTGGCCACTGGAATCTAAGGGAATACACTCCTTCTATATAGTTTTATATTCTGTTGAATCTGATGAAAAACCCAATTCAAATTAGAGTAAGCATATAAAGAGACTATATATTGTTCACATAACTAGAAAACCTAAGAGCAGAGCTAGCTTCAGGTACTACTAGATTCTAGAATTCATACATATTGAGACACAGTATTTGTATATCTTGGTTTATCTTTCCTCTATTGGCTTAATTCTCAGGCAGGGTCTTTCTGTGTAGTGGTAAAGATGACTATACAGTTTATTCTTAAGAGTCTTATGTCATTCTTAGAGTTATGATTCCAAAGAAAAATGACACTTAATTTTCCATCTTCCACTTTCAAACCTTATAGACATTGTGCCCATTTGTTATGCCTGGGCCATATGCCCATTTGTGAACTAATTTCTGTGACCAGAAGGAAGAATGGAACAATTGGTTGGGTCTGGTTATATGCACATCTACTGTTAGGTTGGAGGGCTGATATTAATTGTACTGTACTGACCTACATGGAAAGGGTTCCTATAGGTGGCTACTTTTCTATTTGGCCATAACGATGCATACTGAAAACAACTTTAGCCAATTTAGAAATAAGGCATATGGGCTAAATATAGTAAAATCCTTGGAAAGAATTTAATAATTTTTCATAGGCTTTATTTTTTAAATTGGTTTTTAGAGAGAAAGAGGAAGGGAGAGAGGGATGGAAGAGGGGAAGGAAGGAAGGAAGGAGGGTAGGGAGGAGAGAGACAGAGATAGAGACAGAGAGACAGAGACATCCCTTTGTTGTTCCACTTATTTATGCATTTACTAGAGGCCTGGTGCACAAAATTCGTGCACAGGCAGGGTCCCTAGGCCTGGCTGGCGACAAGGGCTGATCGGGGCCTTCCGGCTGCTGGCCAGGGACTTCCTTCGTTCCGCGCCAACCCCGGTGGCCAGCGCATGTCATTGTGATCAAACTCCCAGTCTCCTGGTCGAACTCCCGAGGGGACACTTTGCATATTAGCCTTCTATATATATAGACTAGAGGCCTGGTGCACGAATTTGTGCATTGGTGGGGGGATGGCCCCTGGTGGTCAGTGTGCATCATAGCGACTGGTCGACTGGTCATTGTGGTTGTTCTGCCATTCGGTTGCTGGGCTCTTATATGTATAGATTGTATGTGCCTTGACCATGTCATCTTACTGCAACCTTGGTGTATCTGGATATGCTCCAACCAACTGAGTTAGCCAGCCAGGGCAACAGTTTTAAACTGTTATCTGAAGTGGAAGAAACCCAATTCTAACAAAATTAATAATTATATGAAGGCAAAACAATGACTTTTTATTATATTCTGTTGTTTACCTTGACTTCTGGCCCATTCTAGGCATATTAAAAAACTATCATTTTGGCGGGGGGGCGGTAAGAGATCAACCAAAGGACTTGTATGCATGCATATAAGCATAACCAATGGACACAAGACACTGGGGGGTAGGGGAGGCTGGGGGGAAGGTCAAGGGGAGAAAAAAAAAAGGAGACATATATGGCTCCATTTTGAAGAGTAATTTTTGGTAACTAGTAAATTTGAAAATGTATATCAACCTATGACCCTAAAATTTCATTTCTAGTTATGCATCTTAGGAAAATTCTCATGCATGTGTTCAAGAAGAAAGCTACAAGGATATTCTCGATATTTCTCTCTCATTGATGTTTCTAACTCTCTATCTCTCTCCCTTCCTCTCTGTAAAAAATCAATAAAATATATTTAAAAGTATATATATATATATAACTCTCCTTTGAGTATAAAATAGCCACACAAAATTTTTTTTCATTCTCCTAAAATAAGAACATTTCCAGAATATCTTATTCATAACTTTAATGTATTTTAGGATTTGGCTGATGAACTCGCCCTTGTTGATGTCGCAGAGGACAAGTTGAAGGGAGAAATGATGGATCTTCAGCATGGCAGTCTTTTCTTTGCTACTTCAAAGATTGTTGGTGGAAAAGGTTAATTTTAGTGTTTTTTTTAAAATTTTTATTTATTGATTTGAGAGACAGGGAAGAGAGAGAGTGGGGGGGGCATTGATTTGTTGTTTCACTTATTTATTCATTCATTGGTTGATTCTTATATGTGCCTTGACCAAGAATCGAACCCATAACCTTTTGGTGTATGGGATGATGCTCCAATCAATGAGCCACTCAGCTAGGGCTCTACTAAATTCTTATGGTTTTCCTTCACTTTTATTTTTCTCATACTTAAAAGGACAATTTTTAAAATATATGTTTTTATTAATTTTAGAGAGAGAGGAAGGGAGAGGGAGAGAGAGAGAAATATTAGTTGGTTGCCTCCCACACATGATCCGACTAGGGACTGAACCTGAAACCCAGGCATGTGCCCTGACCAGGAATTGAACTGGCGACCTCCTAAGACATAGGTAAGTGTTTGACCACTGAGCCACATCGGCTGGGCAGGACAATTTTTAAACAACTTGCTTTTAATGTCCTTTTAAGATATTCAAATTAATATTCATAGAAACAATTATTTTAAAATATTAATTTTGAAATATAATAAGAGTTTAAGTATAACAAACATTAGTGCATCCCAGTGAAATATTACCAATTCAGTTGATACATTATGTAATATCTATTCAAATCTCATTCAGAAATTGAAGTCCAAGACTAGCCTAGACAAGGTGCTTTTTAAAAAAATATATATTTTATTGATTTTTTACAGAGAGGAAGGGAGAGGGATAGAGAGTTAGAAACATTGATGAGAGAGAACACATCGATCAGCTGCCTCCTGCACACCCACTAATGGGGATGTGCCCGCAACCAAGGTACATGCCCTTGACCAGAATCGAACCTGGGACTCCTCAGTCCACAGGCCGACGCTCTAGCCACTGAGCCAAACCGGTCAGGGCTATTTTTTTTTTATTTTAAAATTTTGTTTTATTGCTTAAAGTATTACAAAGAGTATTACATATGTCTCCTTTTTTTTTTCCTTTGACCTTCCCCCGATCTCCCCTACCCCCCAGTGTCTTGTGTCCATTGGTTATGCTTATATGCATGCATACAAGTCCTTCGGTTGATCTCTTACCTCCCCCCAAAACCCTCCCCAGCCTTCCTGCTGTAGTTTGACAGTCTGTTCGATGCTGCCTCTATATCTATTTTTGTTCATAGGTGAAACAATTTTACAACTGATCATCAGATTTAGAAGGTAGTTTATTTTCTTTTCTGGATCAAGAATGTGCCTGTGATCTCAAATCCAGTCCCTTCTAATTAGAAATAAATACATTCCTACTCTTGGAATCCTGAAACAGATACATACATTTTCAGAGTTTTAAGCTTTTGATATATATATAGTGTTTCCAAGAAGCCAGAGAGTTGATTTGCATTGCCTCAGGCCTTAATAACAAATGAGAATGTCTGCTTAAAAGCATAGTATGTTCTATTTTTTTTTTTAAAAAAAGCTGTTTGAAACTTTTAAGTCATAGTGACAAGACTTCCTTCAGGTTATTCAAAATAATATTACTACATGGAAAGTCTATTCATTTCCAAATGCCAGACATGAAGGTATATAAATGCTTTAATACCAAGATCATACAATACTCTTTTAAAGAATTAAGGAACAATGATTATGGCAGTCATGATCCAAATATTGTCTTTTGTTTCTCTTTTAGATTATCGTGTAACTGCAAACTCCAAATTAATTATTGTCACAGCAGGTGTACGGCAACAGGAAGGAGAAAGTCGTCTTTCCCTGGTTCAACGTAATGTGGATATCATGAAATCAGTTATTCCTGCCCTGGTCCAGTATAGTCCCGACTGTAAGATGCTTATTGTCTCAAATCCAGGTGAGTCTTTTCTCTTTAACTGCATAAGGATGGTCTTTCCAGACCATTCCTTTTTTTTTTCCCCTAGTGCAAGGGGAAGTTTATTTAGCATGCAAAGCAAAAGTACACTTAAATAGAAGACTGGAGCAGAATGCTCAGAGAGGTGCCTTGGCCCTTTAGAAAGAAAGTCACAGAGGCAGAAGAAGTGAGCCAGCTGGGCTGTGTGAACTCAGGAATCAAGTTACAGAGGCAAAAGAAGGGGCTTGAAGGGGGTTAGCCCAGGATGTGCTGCTGTAGCCCAATACTCCCCTAGTTGCAAGTCTTGTGGGGACCCTAACAGAAAGAAAAGAAAGATACAAGCTTGAAGAATAAAGGCATGGGCAGGCTTTGGAGAGAGAGCATGTACTGGGTTCTTTATCTTAAGAGTTTATTTTATTATTATTATTATTATTATTATTATTATTACTAGAGATCCAGTGCACAAATTCGTGCATGGGTGGGGTCCCTTAGCCTGACCTGAGCCCTCTTGCAATCCGTGGCCCCTTGGAGGGATGTCGGACTGCCGATTTCGGCCAGGCCTTCGGGGATTGGGCCGAAACCAACAGTCCGACATCCCCCTGAGGGATGTAGCAGTGCCAAAGTGGCAGGTGGCCGGGGAGAACCCCAGCCGGGGCCAGGCACAGCTCTGCTGCCACTCATCCTGGCCCTGTTGTGCCTGCCACTGCCACCGCCACTTGGTAGCGCTGCCGCAGAGGTGGGAGAGGCTCCCACCGCCATAGCTGCACTCACCAGCCGTGAGCCTGGCTTCTGGCTGAGCAGTGCTCCCATTGTGGGAGCATACTAACCACCAGGGGGCAGTTCCTGCATTGAACATTTGCCCCCTGGTGGTAGGTGTGCATCATAGTGACTGGTCATTCCAGTCGTTCTGGTCATTCGGTCATAATGGTTGCTTAGGCTTTTATATATATATATTTTATTTTCAAGAAAAACAGTTTTAAATATAATGTTACATGCAATAAAAATTAATATTTCAAGAAAAAAAGATTTTAAATATAATAATACCAAAACTGTACTAACATAGTATCACAAAAGTTGTAGGCAATATTAAAAATCTGCAGCCGAACCGGTTTGGCTCAGTGGATAGAGCGTCAGCCTGCGGACTCAAGGGTCCCAGGTTCGATTCCGGTCAAGGGCATGTACCTGGGTTGCGGGCACATCCCTACTCGGGGCTGTGCAGGAGGCAGCTGATCGATCTCTCTCATCGATGTTTCTAACTCTCTGTTCCTCTCCCTTCTTCTCTGTAAAAACTCAATAAAATATATTTAAAAAAAAAATCTGCAAATAACAGGATTACTTCTATTATATTCTAAAATACATTTTTTCTCTTTTTTTAAAACAACTTTATTGAGGTAAAATTTATGCACAATAAACTACGCATTCAAAGTATATAATACAATGATTTTTTCCAGCTTTTTTGAAATATAATTGCCATATAACATGCAAGTTTAAGGTGTACAGTGTGATGATGATTTGATACATTTACATATTGGGAAATGATTACCACAGTAGGGTTAGTTAACAACTTCAACACATACAGTCATCCCTTGGTATTCTAAGGGCATTTGGTACCGCAGTGGATACCAAAATCGGACATTCTTAGCACTGCGCAGAGGCGGGAGAGACTCCTGCCACCGCCACTCTGCTTTCCAGCCTGTGAGCCCAGCTTCTAGCTGAGCATCGCACTGACCACCAGGGGAGCGCACTGACCATCAGGGGGCAGCTCCTGCATTGAGCGTCTGCCCCCTGGTGGTCAGTGTGTGACATAGCAACCGGTCATTCTGCCGTTTGGTCAATTTGCATATTAGACTTTTATTATATAGGATACTATTTGTCTCTAAATTTTGCGTTACCCAAAAATAAACCCACACCTTTATAATAAATTAATATATGACAAAGGAGGCAAGAACATACAATGGGATAAAGGTAGTCTATTCAATAAATGGTGTTAGAAAAATTGGACAGGTATGGGCAGTAAAATGAAACTAGACAACCTTCTTACACCATACATAAGAATAAGCTCAAAATGGATTAAAATTTATATGTTAGACTCAAAACTATAAAAATCCTTGAAGAAAACAAAGGCATTATAATCTCTATGCTCAACCACTGAGCCACGCCAGACAATATGCCACATATTCTTCATTCATTCATAGATAGACACCTAGGTTGCTTTCATATCCTAGCTATTGTGAATAATGCTGCAATGAACATGGGAGTGCAGGTATCTTTGAGATACTGATTTAATTTCTTTTGGATATATACCAAGAAGTGTGATTGCTAGATTATATGGTAGTTCTGTTTTTTAATTTTTTGAGGAACCTTCATACTCCTTCTTTTTATAGTGGCTGTCCCAGTTTATATTCCCATTAACAGTGCACATGGGTTCCCTTTTTCCAACATCCTCACAAAATGTCCCTAAATATTTTATATTTTTGATGCTATAAAAGGAGTTCTTTACGTTTCATTTTTGTTTATTGTGAGTAAATAGTAATACTGTTGATTTTTATGTATTGACCTTGTATCTTGAAAAATTGCCAAATTCACTTTTTAATTCTAGTAATTCTCTTTAAATTTTTGGGATATTCTCTATATCCGTGGTTCTCAACCTTCACAATGCTGCGACCCATTAATACAGTTCCTCATGTTGTGGTGACCCCCAATTTCATTGTTAAAAATTGAACATAATTAAAGCATAGTGATTAATCACAAAAACAATATGTAATTATATGTGTTTTCCAATGGTCTTAGGCGACCCCTGTGAAAGGGTCGTTCGACCCCCAAAGGGGTCACGACCCACAGGTTGAGAACCGCTGGTCTATATATTATCGTGTCATCTGCAAATACAATTTTACTAGTTTTAATTCTTTCTTTTCCAATTTGAAGATCTTTTTACTTTCTTGCCTCATTTCACTAGTTAGCACTTCTAGTAAAATGGTGAATGTAAGTAGTAATGACAGACAAATGTACATCACCCTGGAGGCTCATTTCCTCCCTTTTAAAAAAAAATTTTTTTTTATTGATTTCAGAGACGAAGGGAGAGGGAAAGAGAGATAGAAACGTCAATGATGAGAAAGAATCATTGATTGGCTGCCTCCTGCTCGCCCCTTACTAGGGATCGAGCCTGCAACCCAGGCATGTGCCCTTGACTGGAATTGAACCTGGGACCCTTCAGTCTGCAGGCCACCGCTCTATCCACTGAGCCAAATTGGCTAGGGTCCTCCCTTTGTTTTGGTAGCTTATTAGAGAGTTGGATCAGCTAAATTGAGCCATTGAGCCAGCCTATGTAGAAACAGCAAGGTCTTAAGCTAATGTCAGTATTCTTGGCATGCAAGGTTCTTTTCAGGGCCCTAAGGATATATCTTGGCTCTGGAAATGCATGCTGCTTACCACTGTTCGCAGACCCAGCTATCCTTTGATAAATTTCTTGTTATTTAAGGAAACTAGGGGTTCACTTCCCCCTCCAAAGCTACATACAGATATGTAACACAATGTGCTGGTGGGGCTCATTTTTATTCTCAGAGGAGTTTCAAGAAAACAGCCAGCACATCAGCCAAGAGAGGCTCCTCTGCACTTGGCCATTTTGTATACAGAAGATCTGTGCCTAGTCTATGCTGTGGAATAATGAGAAGTCAGTGTACATAGAGTGGCTCCCTACTTCTCTGCTTCTAAGATTTTTCCAGTAAATACTATTTATATGTATGCCCTCTGGTAGTACATACTGGTAGTAGTATTAGTGTCCGTGATACCTTGTATAAGTGTTGAGAGTGGACATACTTGCCTAATTCTTTATTTCATGGCAAAGACATTCAGTCTTATTGAGTATGATGTTTAATGTTTAATTTCTAGGGGGCTTTTTTCCCCCTAGAAATTCACTTCTCTTCATAATTGTGGAGAGTTTTTTATTTTTATTTTTATTTATTTATTTATTTATTTTTAATATATTTTATTGATTTTTTTTTTACAGAGA